CACTGTGTAAGCCATACATCATCAGAGCTCCTTACCTGATCTACAGCTGGGGCCTAAACGTCCAACTGTGGGTGTCCCTGAGCTGTTCCTACTGTCTACAAAGAAGCTGATCTCCCAAGTCTTCCAAGCTGAGTAATGGGGCATCCCAATTCATGAAAGAGTTCCTAGAGGCAAAAACATCCCAAAATTTCAGTGCTGCCAGAAGAAAGGGATCTTCGCCTTTACTGACTTTAGCAAATGTACTGCCTCCTGCCTTCCCCTCTATGAGAAGCTCTCTGTTTAAAGCAACTTTCTCTTCTGAGCCCCAGCTCCCCCAATTTATACCTGTAAAATGAGCAGAATTGTATTAAGGTAATGAGTAATGGAGGCAAGTGGAAAGTATGAGAAGCAACATTATGAAAGGAAGTTGTTTAAATAAACAAGTAGAGCAGAATGTTGACTGACAAGTGACCATGAGATTCCATTTGTCTCAACCACAGCCCACATCGGAAACCAGCCAGCTTGCAGCTATGCAACGTGCATGGCCTGTCTGAGGAGCACATGGCACACAAAGGGAAATTAGGTTTCTTGGAACAATGCAAACCATATGTCTTTCACGAGGCTGACAGGACTCTCAGTGAAAATTGCCCCTTTGAGGCTGTACCACCACCAAATTCCATGAATAAGAAATTCTGGAAACAGCTGGAAACCAATCTTTTTTTTTTCCTTTTCCTTTTCTGTTAGCTATTCATGATGTTTCTTTTTCTGGCTTGAAATCCTGCATAGTAACTACAGCGCTCAACAAAGAATCACTCATCACTATTCACTGGCTGAGGAACCGGCAACTTGTTGAGTTTTCAACAGTTTCAGCATGAGAAAATGACAGTATGGGCCTTAATTACAAAGTTCCTGGTTAACTTATGAATGCATGTATGCAAATTATCTGAGAATACTTTTCATTTGCTACAGTAGAAGCTCTCTGCCTTCATCTTCTCAAGTTCGCACTTGCTATTAGTGTCTCACCATCACCCAACCAGAAGTAGATTAAAGCTGGTCAATGGGACTTCAGGTAGACTCCTTTATAAACCAGGCAGCCTCAGATTCATATGAAGGTGGGGCTTTTGCCCTCTGCATAACCATACCTTAGTGTAGGCCTTGGTGCACATCCTGTTTTAGGGTACAAAGAGAGCCCATCTGGAATGTAAGGAAAACATTAGATCTTAAGAGTCAAAGACATAGACACATCATTCTGATGAGGGAGACTGCCAACACTTGGCTGAAACGGTGCCTGAGGGTTCACAATGGGAATTCGAGATAAATAGGGTATTGGGGAGGGGGGTGCGGCAGTGAGGAAACACATGAAAGCAGGGTTGGTGTCAGATCAAACATCAGAGTTGCATGTGGGATGACAGGAGATAACTGGACCGTGATTGGGCCAGGTGCATTGTTAGACAGAAGGGCTTACAAAATTGGTCCAGGGCTCTCACTGCCATTGAATCGATGCTGACTCAGAGTGCCCCCCACCCCCAATGGGTTTACAGCACTGTAACTGTTTACAGGAGTAGAAAGTCCAGTCTTTCTCCCAAGGAACTGCTACTAGCCTTGAACTGCCGACCATTTGGATCAAAGCCCAATGCTTAACCACTTCACCACAGGGCTCACTCTGACTTTGGCAGTCAGGGCCAAACTGATAGGGCATGACTCAAGACTCCATGGCCCTTTGTAGCGTCCCCAGTACAGAGCCCTCCATCAGCGACACACCTAGGCAAACCCCTAAGAGAGACTGCCCCTCCCTGGGCTGGCCAGAGAGGGGTAGAAGCAGTCCATTCTCCAATGCACTCTCCCTAAGGGCAAGATTAAAGTACATCCTTGGCTCATGATCAGAAAGCACTTATTGGAGGCTCTATGTACGTGTAGGCTCTGCAAATGGATTTTAGGCTGTCACTCTCATCCACACCCTTTTGCAAACCAGGGTGCTGTTTAAGCTGTAACACAATCTGAAACACTATTTAAATGGAATTTCCTTCTGTGAACACATTCTTGGGTAAAGCCAAATATGCTTTATGCTTAATTCCTTCTTTAAAAAAATATCAAGATATATCTGAGTAATAATTACACATTTAACCATACACAGGGAACGGAGTCAATATTTTCAACGTTAGCACATACTTGGACAGCAATTGGGTTGTCTGTGAATGGAAGATATTGTATAGGAGGTGCACTAAAACAAGAACGAGGCTAGACCTCTGCGTCCCTTCCCCAGAAGGCAGACAGGACCTGCACTGACCTCTTGGGGAACTTGTGACTAGTGTCTAAGGACTAGATAACTTGAGGGACGACGAAAACACAGAAAGTACAGTCCTTAGCGACCATGACTGTAACGAGGAAGTCTCAAGCACCTCCTGTTCTCCCCACCAGAGGCCAGCTTCTGCCTGCCCTCGTGAAGATGGCTACTAGATACAATTGGGGGCCAACTGTTCAGAAATTGACTAAAGGCCTACTATGTCCCAGGCACACAGGGACAGAGGAGTCTGTTCCAGCCCAGTAAGAGACAGGCCCATACTTTTAGTTTCCTCCTCAAACAACGTTAATAGTAAGCAAAATAGTAGACATTGGTGTCTGCTCCCTGCCTCTAGCGTCTCCTTCAGAGTGGTGACTTGCATGCTGCAGAAGTCAGATTATGGAGGGTGGGGTGTGTGGGGTGTGTATGACTACTGTGGTGTTCAATTTTCTGAACCAAGATGGTGAGACTTGGTCTCCTGTGCTCTGGACATGTTCTCAGGAGGGACCAGTCCCTGGAGAAGGCCATCATGCTTTGTCAAGTACAGGGTCAGTGAGAAAAGTGGAGGGACCCCAACAAGACATAGCAACCACTGAGGATGGTGAAGGGCCGGGTGCTTTGAGGACGAAAGAAGACGTCTTTATTGTGTTGTTCGTGGACAAAAAAGCAAAATGAACACAATGAAACAAAATCCAGAAAAATATTTTGTAAAGTAAGACAATATTGAAATAAAAGCTTATCATTTAAAAATTTAAACAAACAGATCCTTAGCGGGTCACCATCTCTACCTAGCTTTAGGCTGTCTTCTAATCAGCCAGTTTTAACCAAGGCAAACCGGTTATCCACACGAGATTACCTGGAAGGGCAGTCTTTTTTTTTTTTTTTTTTTAACATGAGCAATACCTACAAACACTATTCACCATTAAGGATTTTTCCTATATCCTCTGATTTTAAAACCTAATGCTTAGTACTTATAAAGCATGTTTTCTTTTTCAGGAAGAGCAATGGGCTATGTCAAGCTATCAACTTTTGTTTATAGTGTCTGGGATTAGAAAAAAAACGTTTTCATGTAAACTTAACTCTTGGGGAACCACATGCATATAAAATAACATCTGGAACGTGACTTTACCTCCAGACACCTGTGAGACATCTGTCCCTTCCTTCAGTTCAGCTGTCCCAGACTCCATGCGTTATTCCAGACACACACTTCCTGTACAGCCTACCTGTGCTAATGAACTTCCTTCCCATCAAATGTCTGATACAAAGAAATGGAGGCTATTGACTGAATCACCCTCATTGATCTTCCACAGTATCCTTTCCAGATACGTGTCTATGCATAAAGTATACCTTCTCCATGTTCATTAGCATACCATTTTCTTGTACCTATTAGCATTCCCCAAATACCCTAGATCCAGCAATATCAATAGTAGCTTGGCTGGCGATCTGAAAATTCACTACTGTGCTTTTTAAAATATCTACAATCTCTCTACTAGTGTTTTTCATCAGCCACGGAATATTCCCACTGGCTCTGTGGGTTCGCCAGCAACTCCACCAAAGAGAGAACTGCTCATCTGCTCGCACAAAGATCGCCGCCTGGGACCCCCAGTGAGCTAGCTGCACTCTGCACACTAGGTTGCTCAGAGCTGAAATCAGCTCAGTGGCACTGACAACCAGTTATTTTATAGATAAGGGATGTTACAGTATTGCTACTAGGGTCCCAGGTCACACAAGCAAACCACCTGTTTAAACATCTCTGCGATCAGTGGATGGCTACAGACAAGTTCTCTCATTAGAGCACTGTGCATAAAAAGATCCAATGTCTCGGGGCTTTCAAGGGGATCTCCTGGGTCAGAGAAATTCCAGGCAGAGGTCAGCTCAGACAATAAATACAACTGTTTTCTTGGATGCCCAAGAGATAATCTTGAAAGATTTTTGTCAAGACAATGATAGGGGCTTATTAGAAGGAAAGTTTTACAAAAATTGAACCCTGTCTTAACGAGAAAAAGGCCAGGGAAGTTGTGCTGAGGAACTTTTATCCATCATGAAAACATACCTGCTCATTCTTCGAGGGCCACAAGGCCTGTCCTATGAGAATGTCCTTAGAAACCTTAACCCACCCATCCCACAGCCCTGATTTGAGCCTTCGGGCTTCTCCCTATTCCCAGAAAACGCAAAGAACAGTGTAAAGGAATGCACCCTGAGTCCCTCAGGGTGCCACAAGTGCCGCTCTGACGTGGGGTCCCTCAGACGGGGTTCTTCGGGAGGATGAGACGGACACGCTGCCTTTACAAGCACGGAGTCCGAGATGGAGGGAATGTCACGAAAAAATAGCTTCACGTTTTATTATCGTGTAACAAAGATCCATGAGATGGTGTACTTTATTTTTAAGTTACCCTTGTATTCCAATTCCACAAGGAAAGCCATTCATTCATGCATCTCTAATGAAATCACCTCTTCCCTCCCCACCCACCCAATAATCCACCTATTTTTAAAGCTGCTAGTTCTTTGTCCCCACCCACCCAAAAACCCCAATTCACTGCCATCAAGTCCATGTCACCTCACAACAACTCAACAGGACAGGGTAGAACTGCCCCTGTGGGTTGCTGAGACCAACTCTATGGGAGTAGAACGTCTCAGCTGTCTCCTGAAGAGCGGCTGGTGGTTGCCAACTGCTGCCCTTGCGGTTAGCACCCCAATGCATGCATAACCACTATATCACCAGGGCTCAGAATTTGGGTCATTTTTCAAAATTAGTTTAATTATTCTACATATTATCTAAACAAGAAATCAGTTTTGCAAGGAGAAAATAGATTTTGTATCAATTGAATGACAAACAGATTGCTCTTTAGGAGCAAGAATGATGAGATTAATCTTGCATGTCATCAGGAAAGAATTGGCCACTGGAAAAGGACATCCCATGTGGTAAAGCAGAGAGTGACAGAAAATCAGGGAAGTCCTCCGTGAGGAGTGTCACCCACAAGGGGCTGGGGCATGTGCGGGAGACGTGATGGAGATGGTGCAGGATGGGGCCAGGCTTCCCTCTGTTGTCCACGACTCGCCAGCAGCTACTAGCAATGCCAAAGAGCATGGCGCTGAAACACGTCCACCCCCCGGAGCGGCTCCAAGTCAGTACATGCACAGGGAAGGCCACTTTTATGGGAGGTTTATTTTGTAAAAAGCAATGTTTTTGAGGTTCCTTATCTTACTCTTTCAAAGTAACGCAAGGAGAGTGATAAACGTTAGTGAAAAATACCCTGCTCTATGAGCTTCTTTCTAACACACTGATGGCCTACTGGTCACAGAAGGTAGAAATATACAGTCCAAGTATAAATGTAAAACATATGAGCAAACACAATGAAACTGTCATGAACAAAAATACAGCACATTAGTCAAAATATCCTGCTTAAAAACCCTAAATTCAAGTTAGGTGGAAACTGTATAAGTACAAAACCATTTGTAGAATAAGAGTGATCATCCCCTGGTCATTTCTGAAAAATGAATATTAACTTGGTTTTAAAAAGTTAAACTTTTAACTTCTTTTTCAAAATGCTTTGATGACCTACATGAAAATGTTTTTAACAAAAAAAAAAAGAAAATGTTTTTAACAATTCATACTAAAGAAATTTTCTTGTAACATATAAATAAACCAACTAGCAGTAAATAGTATTTAAAAAAACCCAGCAAATCTAGAAAAGTCGTCCAATAGTGAGTGCAAGAGTGATCTCAATTTACTGTCATTTTCTCCTTCCTCATCATTCTTTTTCACCCTGTCTCTGGAGACTGAGCTCACCTGTGCACCTTGCTCCCCATAGACCTCTGGGCCCTTCCGGCAGCTGTGAGAGATACAGGGGAGCACTCACAGTCCCACAAGAGAGGAAAAGCGAAGCCTGGCCTTCTCCCCTTCCTGGGATACAGCAATGACCTATCAAAGTGTCCAGGGCCTCTTGTTATTACAGCAGGCACGTGGACTGCTTCTCTAGTGCTCAGTTTAACTGCACTATAGGGTACCTTACATTTAACCATTGAAACGAAAAACATTCCTTAGGACCGTAAAATTTCAACTCTCCCTTAACAAATAATAATTTAAACTTTGGGGGGATGGTTCGTAAATGCAGTCCCAGCTACGTGCACTCTTCCTTCCTCCACTCCTACAGCCCACACATCATTTTCTCCACCAACCCCACCCCACTCCCACCCCATTCTCCCAAGTATAAACCCAATGTGCCCCTTGGCTGCATCAAGATACAGAGTCACATCTTTGTAGTAAACTCATGTTAAAAGCTCTGGGAGCTCCGGCTATCAATTACTTTCCTCCTTCCCATTTTCCATCCACACCCCCTCAGTGTTGGAGGCCTCAGGGGGCGCAGGCTGCTTGGAGTGGGTTGGGTCCACAGCTGAAGAGGTGGGCTGAGGAGGCCCTGTAACACACAGTGGGGTCCGCTTGAGTTTGATCACTCGGTTGGGCGTAGACTTCTTGTCAGAGAGTCCAGCCGGTGCTGCAGTGGGATGTGTGGCCCCGTTTTCACTACTCCTGGTTCCCCAGGAAGTCTGGGGCACTGGACATGCACTTGTGCCCAAGTTGGACGCAGCTTTCGAAGGGGCACAGTGCTGGTTTGCAGTCACTCGCATCAAGGTCCGGGGAGCCTTGGCTGGAGACACCCTAACTGAAGCCGAGTTCTTGACCTTGATCTGGGTGCTTGTGGAAGGGCCCAAATACCTCACTGGCTTAGGACCGGCCTTAGAGCTCACACTTTCTTCCTCTTCGTTGAAAGCTACCAGTCGCCTGTAAACATAGAGCTTGTTATTTTCAGCATTCCAGCATGAGTGATAGAAACATCAACAGTTTCCCTTCAGAATTAACGAAAAGGGTTTTCTGGAGAATTGAAGAGTCAAAGGCTTCTAAATGGCAACCTACTTGATCTCCCCAACCAGCATCCACACATAAATTCGTGATGCGAGAGGCTGTTTCAACTTGAACACATACTGATTAAAAGCCAATCTCCCATTTTAAAAACCACCTGCAACATTAATTCAGACAAGTTTGAATTTGGAGAAGATTGTGTAAGAATGATACGATATACCATCCATTGCCAAGAGCCCTAATGCAATCCACAGCATAGCTGGGGCTATCCCCAGTTATTCTTCCCAGAGCTGTAATTTCAAGAGATTTACTGAGGACAAAAAGGGCATTATAGGGGAAAAAAAACAACAAAAACTTAAGAAATGCTGTGGCCAAGCCCTATAACAAATTATAGGTTCTAAGAAGGCCCATGTTTAAATTTGTTGGATCCATTACGTCCCAGTCATTCTGCAACTCAATTACCTTCCACAGCCAGTAAAAGCAGCATTCCGTAGAGCACATTTTGGAAACTGCTGGAATGACTAGACTCATGGTGTAGCCAGATGCCTTTTGAATTTCAGGAGTATAGGACAAACTTCAGCATGTCCTGAACTGAGTTTACCATTCATCATGAGCCTAAAGGTGAACATTTACAACTTGAAACTGTCGAACATGAGTGTTGAAAACCCCCTAGCTCCTTCTACTATGTCTCCCAGTTTAACTTCAAGGAAACCACCTGCTGATATTATGTAAACATAACATGTGTCCTCCAGGTCTCCCTTCTCACACAGCATCACTGCGTTTCAGAGGCAAATTATCTCCCGACGTGAACTCTTGATTCTGGGACATGGGGTCAAAATGGTCTCGTCATTTGAGGATTACAATAGGGGCAAAAGCAGGGCCCTGGTGGCAATAATCTTGAGTAAGAATCTACTTGTTGCCAACTGGCCTGTTATTTTAAACTCTACTGGTCAAAATTACATTTTCTCTGGTGAGTTAGAGGGGTCTTTGTCATCTCATAAGTGTTTCTGAGTCATGATTAACATTATCCTTTTGACACATCAAAAATTATGATAAACAGATTCTCAAAGGAAAGACAGCTAACACAGGTGTAAGTCTCCATGAAGCCATTTTTACTCACTTACCTGTCTACACCTCCCTCTGGACTCTAGGTCAGGTGTTTCCATACTGGCACTAACACTGTGGTGGGGGGCTGTCCTGTGCACTAAGGATGTTTACCAGCATCTCGGGCCTTTACCCACTGGCTCCCCTTGCCAGTTGTGATAACAAAAAACGTCTCCAGGCATCAGATATCCCCTGGGACACAAAACCGCTACCAGTTGAGAATCACTAATCTAGATCCAAATAACATTTGCTGAGTGTAGATATGAAAGGCAAAATGAATAATAAAATTATGGCCCTTAAGTTAAAAGATATGTTTGCTAAGAGAGGGCTAACTAAAAGGTTGACTAAACCCTGTGTTTCTGTGACATGGTGATCTGAAATCCCACTGGGGCATTCGTTGAATCAAATTCGAGAGGAAGTGATCAAGAAATCCAAATATCTGAAGGCAACGACTACTCCTAGCACTAAAAACAAAATATTATTTTCAATGTACATGGAACTGGAGTAAATTTAATGTGAATCATTCCAAGTGGTAAATCTACACTGGTAAATGCTCTGACCAGTGCCAAGAAAGGCAGGAATGTCCCTCTTGGGGGGAGAAACCTGTTATCACAGAATGGCCTGTCTCCTGATAAGAACATCCCACAGCCTCAGAAAGCTACGCCTCCTAATCTTGCACTTACCTAGATCTGTATTTTGGTGCTAAGGCAGAATACTCAAGGAGATGGTTAAAAAGCTTAGGACTCATTAAAATGAGTACTAGGTCATTACTCACTTTCTCCTCATAAGAGGACGGGAAAACCTAAGTTAAAGACTTTAAGAACAAAAATCAAAACCCCACAATCCAAAGAGCACAGAGAACCTTTTCCGAACTGGGGCCATGTGTGGCAGACTTCCATGTAAAGGCTGCTCTTCCAGCGTCCAACATTCTATCAGCTCATGAGGCACCAGCCAGTAGCTCACACCTGAAGATAAAAAGGCCCAGTTACTGACAGTGATGTACAAAAATCCTCCATGTGATGTCAATTTACTCACTTTGAGACGACTGAACAAATTCTTCATCACAACCTTCACTTGTTGCACGTGCCGTTTTTAAATCATTGAAAAGGCTTCAAGTCTTCTTGCATTAAAACTTAAACCAAATCACACCAACTGCCACCCAGTTGATTCCAACCCTTAACAACCCTACAGGACAGAGTAAAACTACCCTTGCGGGTTCCCAAACTTGTCGATCGTTAGGGAAGCTGAAGGCCACCTCTTCCTCCCTTGGACCAGCTGGTGAGTTTAAAGTGCTAACCTTTTGCTAACAGCCAGGTGCTGTAACCATCACCATCAGGGCTCCTTTCTTACACTACACACCCATTCGACTTACGTAAAGTTCAACAAAAGGAACATTAAGAACAGATCTTGTTTATAACCCAGGTAGTTAAGAACCATCACCAAAAATGTCATATACAGGAAATCATGTAACAGGTAGCTGTTTATGTTTGTTTGGTTTCTTTAGCACTGTGCTTTGGAAAGTCATCCAATTTTTATGTATCAATCACTTCTTTTTCTTGCCTTGGTGGTTTGTAGTGAAGCCTTGTAGTGGGTTACCCACAGGTCAGTAGTTCAAAGCCCTCAGCCACTCCATGAGAGAAAGATGAGGCTTTCTATTCCCATAGAGAGTCTCAGAAAGCCACAGGGGCAGCTCTATCCTGCCCTACAGGGTCATTATGAGTCAGAATCGACTTCATGGCAGTTAGTTTGGTTTCTGGAATATCTCATGTATGGATATATGGTGATCTGTTTCTAGAAATTTCATTTTCCCTGCCTACAAAGTGCACATAGTCCCGTACTTCTGAAAGGCTCTGCTCCAATGCCTCGGTCACAGGTCAGTTCTGGGCTCAGTCTGATCGTGAGTATCGCCTCTTCTGATCAGAAGCCTTCCAAATCCAGCAGTTTTTTACAGTGAATCATGAAACTGAACAACTGCAAATGAGTATCTAGGAATGATCGCCTCAGCAAATTACATGCTGTAACACATTACTAGTTACAAATGTTCTAAGAAAACCCCGAGGCGGTGAGTGAAGTAGCTCATAGCTCAGAAACAGCATGAGTTGGGGAAGACCTGTATTTTACATTCATTTGCAGTCTGCAGAACAGTCAAAAGGATAATTAAGAAAATAAACCTCACTCCTAATCCTATAACCAAGAATCATGGTTTCATTCCAGTTGTTTTTTCTTTTCTTTTCTTTTTCTATTGACACAATGTGCACAGAATGTAAGGTATAATTGAACCTACATTTCATGGTGCTTCCCACTTTTTAATCATAGCCACTCTTCTATGTACAAACTTATTCAAAAGTAATATTGATGGCTAGTCTATTCCATGTGTGGAATGTAGCAAATGTGTTTAAATTAGATGGATTATTTTCGGGTTTCCCTATTTAGAATGGTATTGAACCTATTAATAAGCTGCTGTCTACTTTTGATTATATCCTTGTAGTATTATTCTAAAAGTAGAGTTAATTGGTTCAAGGCTATGACCAAATCTGATGCTACTGAAGTGTACTGACAAGTTATTTTCATAAAACATTGATCAATTTTAACTTCTGCCAGGGATTCATAAGAAAACTTCACTAATTTGGCGAGTAGAAACTGTTCCTGCTTCATTTGTACTTTCTTCATAAGTAAGCTTGGGCCTCTGCCGCACTTGTTTCCTCTTCTCGGGATGCTCTGGACGTAACCTTGCATGGTTTTGCTGCTTGGTTTTCTAATCAAGTCAGATAAACCCATTCTACTAAGGATATTAACTTCTTATCTGGTTAGTGTTTTTTATTACTCATAATTTGATTTCTAGTTTTAAAAATTTCTTAAAGTTCTGCACAGCATAAATATTGTATATTCAAATTCATCAATTTATGTGATTCATTCTAGGCTTATTTATTTTCCATTTAAGCCATCTATTTGCTTGCTCAAATTTCTTTTTAGTTTATTAGCTTCTTTTTTCATTTCAAAACTCCACCTGGAATCCTATTGATGAATGCGGTATGGATAACAATGTTTTCTCCCACGTAGTTAGCATATTTTTCAATAATTTATTAAATGACTAACCCCCCCTTTCACCGATGTTTAAGTTTTATTACTTTTCATTTTTATTCTCATAACTTTATTGTGGCCTACTCTTGGTCTTGTCACAGCAACCGTTTTTATTATTACATTAGTATGTTTTACTATCAAATAGCGCTAGATTCATACTCTGAATTACTTTTATTTCCCAAAATGTTCTTTGCTATTTTATGTTTATTCTTTCAGAGGACTTTAAAAATTATTTCCTCAAGATTCTCAAAAAATCATCTATTTTAATAAGCAGATTTCCTACTAAGGAGCCTTGGTGGCACCACAGATTAGGCACTGGGTTGCTAACCACAAGGTCAATGGTTCAAACCCACGAGCCACTGGGAATGAAAAACATAAGACTATCATCTCCATAAAGATTTACCATCTCAAAACCCTGTGTAGGTTGCTATGAGAAAGAACTGACTTGCTGGCAGTGGGTTTGGTTTGGGGAGTGTGCTTAGAACTATGTCTCATCACTGTCTTCTTATACTCTTTCTTAAAAGAGATAGATGGTTACATGGATGGGAGGAGGAAGGATGGACAAACATAAATGTAAAGGTAAGTCAAATAAGTGCCGCTTCTATTCCAGTTCACACATACATGGATTTATCCCACACAAACATGTCTAAGCATGTTCCTGTGATCAGTGGATGGTGGCAGGGATCTTAGTTTGTTTGAGAATCTTAAGGCAAAAAAACCCGGTCCAGTTAAAAACAGTGTCCTCACAAGGAATTTTCTAGGTCCGTTAAATTCAAGGCAGAGAGGTCAGTCAGCTCAGGTAATGGTGACTACTTTAGGGGGATTTCAAAAGGGTCATCCTGACAGATTTTCTCAAAAGAGCACAGGATGATCACAGGGGTTTACCATGAGGAAAACTGCAGGAAAAGGCCAGGAAAGTTGTTCCAAGGAATCTTTTCCATCACAATGCACCTGCTCATGCTTCAAGGGTAGCGGAGGACTGTCCGCAGAGACTTTCGATGAGAAACCTTACTGCTCCCCAAGCCCCATCCAGCCCACAGCCTTGTTCTGGCCCCTTAGAATGATTTTTGTTCCCCAGACTCAAAGGACCTTGAAAAGGAGCCCAATTTGTGTTCCTCTAGGGTACCGAAACTGCTATTTTGGCGTGGTGCAAACCCAACAGCACACAGAATTCTTTCAGGAAACATTAGAGAGATGACAACACATTGACCCAGATGAAGGCTATGTCAAGAAATAATAGCTTCACATCGTGTTTTTTGTTTGTTTAATACAGGTTTCTATGGTTTTGCAGAAGTATTCTTTTATTTAGAAATAAATATTTTTCAGTTTTCTGCAAAAAAGATCCTAACATTTCTTAGTAGGGCAGTCCAAGTTATTTTGCTATCAGAAATGGGATTTTCATCTGTAATTTCTATTTGACTCACCCTGTGCGGGCTACGGATCTTTGCAGACATATCGCATCCAGCTACTCCCCTGAACTCATTTTACATCTTTTTAGGTGATCCACAGGGGTTTCCTAAAAGACTGATTGTTCTGTAAAGCAGTGACCCTGTCTCCTCTCTTTCAAGAGTTCTTTCTCTTGCTTCTGCTTCCTGTCTAAGGGCTTCCACAGACCTCCCAAAGCTCTGTGCGATTACAACGATGCTCTATTACATACAAAGTTAGGCCATTGTATATTTTGTAAGCCGGTGATCCCAGGTCTCGGTTCAGCTTCTGAAGTCAGTGGAGGAAGAAGCCAAGCCTGGGCCCTCCTGAGGGCGCCTGGGCACCCTGCCATCCAGAGGCACAAAAGGGGACACAGAGAACACCACAGGGTTTGCTCCTCTCCTCCAGCGTAAGTATCTTATAGCCGAAGCAACAAACTTAGAGAGAATCACATTTCTTTATCATACTCCTTCCTGCCTGCTTGGGGGCTCGGCTTGGATAGGAAGAGAAAGAGTAGGAAAAGTGAGGGGGCAAGCTGAAGGAAGTCAGAAAAGCTGGAGCTGGCACCCCAGCTGCAGGAGGACCAGCTGGGGTAGAGTTTGTAAACTGCTTCTCCCTCTGAGCCCTGAGCTCCTCCTTTTTGTCACTCTGCTGTGACGTGCGCTATCTGTCTCTAGAAGCTTGCATTGTAATCTCCTGTGAACGTGGACATGTCTCATTTATTTAAGGCCCAATGTTAAGACGCACAGAGCTTCACTCAATACAAGCTGAGTAAGAGAGAAAAGAAAGCTTCGGCGTACAACAGTCACTCCTATGCCCCCTCAGCAAGTGACGAAACTCGCGGACCTTCCCGCCTGTGAAAAGTGAACGGGAAATAACTTACAGGGTGGTTAGGTCTAAGAGACACTGAATGTCAACTACTTGGTCACAGTGGCTATTACAGTGACACAAGCAGCTTGGGAGAAGTGGTCAGTTTTCAGAGGCATCTAAAAGCTATTTTAACTCCTTTATAAAGGCCTTTTAGATATCTTCTCCAGCATGTTTGCATTTTCTTTCTCTTTTCCTGAGTAAACATTTTATGCTTAATTTAAAAGTAACTTTCTAGAGCAATACTAGAGGTGCATTAGATGCTTTGTTTGATTGAATTAAACTTGAGTTTAATTGTACCAAATACCTATCACTGATAGATGTGTGAGGGGGCTTCAAAAAGGCAGTGGAAAATGGGATTTTAAAATAACGGAATTTTTTTCTAAAAAATGTTTGAAGCCACCTCATATTTCAGGTTCTTGAATTGGAAACTACTAATAAAGATCAGGCAACTCAGAGCATTTAAAGATCTGAAAGTAAAACTGCTTTAGTGTTCCTTACCATGAAGCCATACATTTCTTGACCCATACACACATTCAAAATTACTTTTCCAAAAGAAGAAGCATAGTATTTGAACTTACCTGGTTCATTAAGAAAAAGGCTACCTGTACCTGTTTCCATTAAATAAAAGAGCTGTACCCTACCTTTTCCTTCCCAGGTATCAAAGGCATCCATCATTTTCTTCAGTTCTGTCACGGAATAATAGCTCCAGATGTACTGAACATTATTCCCAGCCTCTCTAGAAATATTGCAAAAGTAATAAAAATAGACTAGCTAGGTAAAAGTATGTAAATACATGTATGTGTACACAGCTAACAGACATGAAACACATGCTTTTTAATTGGGGGAAAAATACACAGGCATTCAAGAGTTGCTCTTCCATGACCCTTCAGCATATTTTATATATTTCTGTATATATATACCTATGTACATGCATACATACATATCTATAGTGCTCATTTACAAACCCACATCTGTTTTTACTGTTTCATAGTGGTAAGCTATGTTAATTCCACCTTGCAGAATGTGTAGACAAATCAATACATCTTTAAAATCAAGTTTTAAAAAAATCACCTAACTCCACTCAAGCTTCAACTTTTTGACTCTACCTTTCTAACAAGATGCCAGGCACTTATCTATCTTATCTATAAGACTCCTTGCCCATAAAGAATTCAGAAATTAATTTCATATTTAATCAACTAAAAGGTAGGATGAAGTGCTTATAAAGGAGCCCTGGTGGTACAACTGTTAAAGCTCTAGGCACTAGCCAAAAGGTCAGTGGTTCGAATCCACCCACTGTGCCATTGTAGAGATGCAGCTGTCTGCTTCTACAAAGATTTATAGCCTTGGAAACCCAGAGACGGTTCTACTCAATCCTTTAAGGTCACTCTTAGTCGGAACTGACCCAATGGCAGCAGGGTTTTCTTGGGAAGGCTGTGGTCCCGCATTAGTCATTAATACGTGACTCCATCCAACCTCCCAGACAATTAAAAAAAAAGTTCACTAAATGAATTGACCAGTAAATAAGAAGAGAGGGAACACATTAAAAAGGGTGACTCTAGAATTTAACCTGCTTCAGTTCAAGAATTTTAAAGCGGGAAGGGACCAGGACAGCCCTGCATCTTGCACAGAAGTGAACGTCAGCCCGCTGCTTTTAGGTCAGTGCGTCTGCCACTGGCCTGAGGTCTCAGGAAGACACCCACCCACAGGTGGCTATTCTTTCCCTGTCAGGGCATTCTGATGCACCAGCCAAGGTGTGAGCCACTTCAAGAGACCACGTAGAGAACCCATAGCTTACACACCAGGGCGCTTCAGAAAGACAGTGGGTAAATGCCATGATCTTTTCATTAGATTTTTTCATGGACTTTGTGAAGTCCCCTCCCAGATGTGAGAGGTCTTCATGAAACAGGTCTCTCTCCGCGCCCCCTAGGGACACACTGTCTGCTAAAAGCAGGTGAGGGGCCTTTCTAGCCAGGCGCATGTTCTATCCACTAACAACTCTCACACAAGACCAAGATTTGACCTGGTTCCTATTCCATAATTCAAAGTGGACATACCTTTTAAAAATGCTTTTACTATGAATTCTTCCTCCCAGCTGTTTATCAATAGCATCCGTTCCATCAGTTTTCGTGGCGTACACACCAATAATTCTACTCTCACAGCTTGCCAGAGATGTGTTAAGATAGTGTAGAACCCAAACTGTCGGCTTATTGCAAACTAGGCCGTACGAATCACAGAAGTCTGTTAAAGCCTGGAGCAGAAAAATGCAAAAAACTAGAATTTAATTCTAAAGTAAAAATGAATTTACTGTTTCTTTCACATAT